GAGAGTGGGTGTGTAGGGGACAGAGGAATGGCGTTTAAAACCATGTTTGTTTTCTGCCCAGGTTGTGTTAATGTGCTCGTGTTTATTTTCTGCGCTTAACTTGTACATAGTTAAAATAAACCTTTTTGAGTTAAATAAGACCTGGTGTGCTTTGACCACCTAGTCCTCCCCGCTCAGCACATTACCGGGGGCAAAGGGAGGCTAGGGGAACACAAATGGGCCCAGATTGGAGGGTTGCCAACTCTCCAGGGGGCGCCCAAAGATCGTGGTACCAACTTCCCAAGGGTGGGGAAATCATCCAGAGGGGTCTTGCTGTCCCTCTAGGAAGGCGGTGTCAATTCAGTGAGTGGTGGCAGTGTGTAATGAAGGGAAATAGCCCCACCAGGAAAGGGTGGGGAGGCAAAAAACGGGCTTGCGAGGCACAGAACGGCTGCTCAGCCTCCCAGGGCTGAGGGCGGGTCCCCGTTTCGCCACAGGAGTATTCATTGTTCTCCCATTTTAGCATCACAACAACCACGTGAAGTAGCTTACCTTGAAAGAGAATAACTGTCCCGAGGTCACCCAGTTGAACTTCATGGCTGAATGGGAAATTTAAATAGCGGCACAAGCGGACAGCCCAAGGGGCAGCTGCACTCATCTGGCAAAGTGGGCCCTTTCCCAGGCAAGCTAATGATAGGATTCAAATGTTTCGCATTCAAGGTGCTACTTGACTTTTATTTACACAGATTTTACAAGTGTTGATTAGCTCAGTAAAATTACGGAAACTGCGTGATCACCAGTTACTGATCACATGAAAGATCTCTGTACATTTGAATTTTACTTGATTATATTTCACTGTGTGAGAGGGAAGGCAGCATGGTATATAGCAGTGGTGGCGAACCTTTTAGAGACCGAGTGCCCAAACTGCGACCCAAAACCGGCTTATTGATCGCAAAGTGCCAACATGGCAATTTAACCTGAATACTGAGGTTCTTACTTTAGAAAAAACGACCCATACATTAACTTAAGATGATCCAAACAAAGTAAGGAAAGCAATCCCAAATGCTTTCCTTTACTTAAAATTATTTGGCAGAGAATTCCACACTTTAATGATGGTCTGGGCCTGGCTGGGGCGATGGCATACGTGCCCACAGAGAGGGCTCTGAGTGCCACCTCTGGCACCCGTGCCATAGGTTCACCACCACTGGTATATAGACTGATTTTGTCAGATCTTGGAAGCTAAGCAGGGTCAGTGCTTGGAAGGGAGACAACCAAAAGAGACTCTGCAGAGCAAGTCAATGTCCAACCACCTCTGTTTCTTTTCTTTTTTAAATACTCTTATTGAATTTTGTATTATACAGCCACAAACACTTTCAACCTTTACATTCACTTTTTGGAGGTCTTATACATAATAAATTTCTCCCACCATTTGTACATTCTCAACCATTTCTTTTGAAATATTTCATCTTCTTTTCCACGTAATATCATTGTCAATTTATCTAATTCTGCTACATCAAGTAATTTTTTTTAGCTATTTCCATTCTAGAAGGTAGTTTATCTGTTTTCCAATATTTTGCTGCCATTATTCTTGATGCTGTTAATACATATGTTGGTAAGTACTTATCATTTTGATCAAGGTTATCCGGGATAATATTTAACAGACATATTTCTGGTACCAAAATTACACTCAAGCTCATTATCTCCCATATCATCTGTTGAACCATTTTCCAAAATTTTTGCATACTACCACAATTCCACCATATATGTATAAATGTTCCTACATTGTTCTTACATTTCCAGCAGTTCCTTGATATTTTAGGGGTACATTTAGCTATTTTATCTGGGGTCCAGTACCATCGATGAAACATTTTATAAATATTTTCTTTATAAGCTGTTGATCCTAAGAATTTTATTGTCTTCCATATTTTGTCCCAATCATCAAATTCTATTATGTATCCCATATCCCTCATCCAAGCTAACATAGCATATACAACCACCTCTGTTTCCATTTGCCTTGAAAGCCCCTTGCTGGGGTCACTATAAGTCAGCTTCAACTTGATGGCACTTCCCACATTTTACAGTCACTTGACCCTGTTTTTACACACACACGCACACACACACAGAGTCTAGCATAAGCATTTCAGAACTAGATCCACTTTATGATATGCTCATGATGCTTAAAATAAAAATTAAAAGAGATATGGCAACCCACGACATGCCTCTGATAAAGTGTCTCTAGTTCTCAAATGCTGATGCTAAAATAGTCTTTAAGGCAGGGATATCAAACATGCAGCCCATGGGCCGGATCAGGCCCTTGGAGGGCTTCAATCTGGCCCGCAAGGACCGGCTGTTTCCTATATCCTTTCCCATTTATTCTGCTAATGCTACGTCACAGCTCGCTTTACCAGACTCTCTATTGCACAGGAGAGATAGATAGGCAAGCCTCTCCTGTGAGATTGAGAGAGTCTGGTAAAGCACTGGCTGAGGCTCCTCCCTCTCCTCTTCCTCCTCCCCAGGGGAGGAAGGGAATGAGCCAGAGCTTGCTTCCTGGCCAGGTTGCCTCAATCGTATACAGGAGACAAAGGGAAGCCTTTCTTTCCTTCCACTGGCTGAGGCTCCTCCCTGGAGGGAGGGAGGGAGGGAGGGAATGAGGGAGGGAAGGCTTGCTTTGCTGGGCTGCCTCAGTCGCCTGGGAGAGCACCTCTTTTTCTAGGAAATGACCCCTGTGTGGAGGCCTTCCCCTGGCTTAGCCTGCAGACCTCCCTCCCGGGACCAGAGCAGAGTGAGCCACCAAAGACCCTTCCCGGTGCTGATGTGGGCAGGACACCACAAAGGAGCCTTCTGACTGGCAGTTCATGGGGCCAACCGATTTTGGCAAGCATAGAACGTTAGGGGACAAAAACTCAATTGTGGCTCCGGTCACACGGGCTGGATATCGCCGGGGGGGGGGGGGGGTGGCTGTGTGGCCCGACGTCCCATGGTTCGGGGGGAGGTGCCGATCATACGTCAGTCCTGCAGCGCGGCAAAGAAGTGGCGTGGGATGGTGTTTTTTTTTAAACCGAAGTGTGCGCATGTGCCGTTGGGTGCTTGTGCGCATCCCGTGGAGACTTGGGGGAAAAAAACCCTTTTTACAGGACATGTGCGGGCGCCGGATGCCACTAGCTACCACCGGAAACGTGATCAGACGCCCACCCTTGCCCCGCGGTTTCCGGAAACTAGTACCTCGGAGGTACTAGTTTTTTACCCCGCATCTTTGGCAGGAAGCCTCGGGTTCGCCACGGGAGCTCTACGCTTTCCAGATGTGGCGCTGTGATTGCGCCCGGAAAATCTTCCGTCTCTGTAGCATGGCTAATGCTCCATGTGACCGCAGCCTGAGAATGTTTATTTGGGTAAAGCCGTATGGGTACCCATCCATCCCACCAACAGGCTCTACGCTTTCCAGATGTTGCAGTTTGATGCGCCTGGAAAATCTGCCTATCTTCCATCTCTGTAGCGGTGCCTAATGCTCCGTGTGACCGCAGTCTGTATATAAAGGAAAGAGAGATATGTAAACAAATAAAGGAGCACCCGCTTTAGCCCTTGCTCTATTGAGCCTCCTTTCCCCCTCAGTAGAGGAAAACCTTTTTTGACTCCGAAGAAGGCCAGGTGAGCAGAGACCAAAGTTCCCTCTAAGCTATGGAGCCCTGGTGAGCAAAAATTTTACTTTGTGAGCTATTGGCATTAAAGTCGTGAGCGGGAGATTTGGCTGCTGCATAAATTAGTTTGTTCTGGAGCCCTCCTTCCTGAGCGGAGACAAAAATGTGTGAGCCAGAGGCTAAAAAACTGTGAGCTGGCTCACACTAACTCAGCTTAGAGGGAACACTGCTCCTGTCCCAACCGTGCCTGTTTAATAAGGTCATTCCTGTTTGAATTTTACTTCGAGTCAAGTGCCATTTACAAAGGAAATAGCAAGTGGGCTCCTGCTTATCTGTAATAAATCTCTGGTCTGGGCAAAAGCCAAATATCATCTCCACCACAGGGTGGGACACTCAGAAAGTCATAAACCGTTTATTACCACAGGCTACCGAGGGGCTGCTCAGACAGAGTGGGGAA